ATGAAAAGGGTATATGCTTATGATTATACTGCTTTTGAAAAGCTAAAAGAAAATCAAATTTTATCAGAACAAGATTTTTATAGCAGATTATGCGAAACTCATGCAACTGATAAACAGTATGAACATGCTTAAAAAGTCTGAAATACTTTCAATATTCATACTCTTGGGCAGTACTCTGATTTATATTAAAAGACTAACGTACTACTTCTTGCTGAAATATTTGAAAATTTTCGTAATAATTGTATTGAGAGTGGTGGAAGACCTTCCTTGATATTATTTAAAAGTTCTATTGATAATTTAATATTTATGTTATCATCTGTTTTATCAACTCTTTTGTAAGTCGCATATTCTGCTGTTGTGAACTTATTGTTGTGAACTTATTCTCAGCATTGACAATTACACGAGTTACGTTGTTATTTTGTCTACTTAATCTGTTAGTGGGGGGTTGGCGCGTGGAGCACGCAGAGGGGTGTCAGCCTCATTGATATACATGAATATATATATATGTGTGTGTGTGTGTGTGTGTGTGTGTGTGTGTGTGTGTTAAATATCTAAGTGTATAAAAATTGTGAGACTTATATCTATGTTAAATGTAACAATTATAATAGGATGCTGTTTTCACAGGGTTAAAATATTAAAAAAAAAAAATATAGAATCTTACCAAGATGTTAAAACATACTAATTTCTTCCATAAATTTCATGCGAAAGTATCAATAATTTCGTTTTTTATAAAATATATAGCTATATAAGCGTGGGACTAAGTACAGTGGTTTTGGCGGTGGTATCGAATTGACAGATTAGCTTTATACGTACTGCCACAACTGCAGGATTCTCTTACGATAGCCGCAGGATGGCACCATGCAGTGATCGCTGTGGCCAACACTGCTGTTTCAGCAATATTGTACTGACGAACTGGCTGTACAAGTTTTTCAGTGTTGATCTTAAAATAAATAAATTACTCAAAAACGCAACATACAAGCCATTATGTCTATAACTTTAAATCTATTTTTTCTGGCAACATTAGAAACTTTTGTTTAGTATTGCATGAATTTTGTTACGTTTTAAATTACGTTAATTTATGCTTACGTGATTTAGACGATTTTACATAGATTTTGAACACTTTTTTTGTGTTTTATTAGTTACTGAATTTATTACTTTATTTGCACAATTAAAAAGTCCTAATGTAATACAAAAAAATTGTTTGCCCCACAGTTAAAAATAAGTATTACCTACATCAAATTAATTTTTTTACGTAGTCAGAATGGAAGTCGCGTATGAAAGGTTAATGGAGTTGTAACCATGTGTTTCAATTATATTAAATAATAAGTTTTAAGAAAATAGAGACATAAAGAAAAAGTGAAAAAAAGTCCAAGCATGTGGAGAAACATAAGTCAAGAAAAGTATACAGTTATAGAGACGAGCCAAGAAGCTAATGATTATACAGGTGCACGTATGCACCGAAACAAAAAGAGAAGAGATTTTTGAAGGGTAATACAAGAGAGCGAAAGGTAAATGTTTAGTCTACGACAAAAAGTTCGGTGCTATTTCTCAGTCATAAGCTCATGAACCAGCTTTTTCTGACTGAAAGTAGATTGACACAATCGCCAAAAATCAGTAGAGCCTTCGACTAGGCAGCGTTATGACCATTGTCTGAATCGCCAAAAATCTAGAACTATCTCAAAGAAGTTAATGAGTATTTTAGTTAAATCTTTTCAAGACTAGAAATTCAGAACTCCTTAGTTGGATTGCTGATCTACGCCATTTAAGAACATTTACGGTCCTTCGAGTTACTGCTCCCAAATTATTTGCCATTTATCTCTGTCTTGCTTATAACTATGAATTTAAACACAGGCTTATGCGATCTCGTTTTTTGTTAATGAATCGCATATTAAAAGTATATGATTGTCGGTTTTGACACTTATTAGTTTATTTTTTATGTTTTATATTAAAAAATTCAATCAGCGACTGCAACTGAGTAAGTTAAATATGCTGGTTTTGGCTCAACTGAGCCACAACCACTAAGCGCTTGTAGCTCACATTTCCTCGTTTCTCATAGCCTGTGGCGACTATGCCCGAGCAGTCCCAAGATGTGGCAACTATACTCGAGTGATCCGAATATCTCCAAACTCTACCCAAACATCCCCAACTGCTATTTCTGTTATTTAATCAACTACCTAATGCATAGCTTGATTTTTTGAAACCTTCCGTAGCATGTGCACGTAATAGTAAGATACGCACACATTTTTTTGTAAGCGAGTGAGTGTCAACTATGCTCGAGCGGTCCAACCACTGTTAGATGAACTTTAAGTATTCCAAGCTGCTGCTCCTCTTTTCTGATGAACTAACACACTCATGGATTGAGTTTGCATGTGCCACCTGCAGCTCTGCTTGAGCTTACACCATGCAAAGTGCATAAGTTACCTGGAATGCTGATTTGCATGCACTGATCTTATGCACGTAAGGGGCACATACGATTTTCGTGTAAGTGAACGCTTTGCATGATGATGTAGGATGTGGAGAGGTAAAAGAATAATTGTGAAGATTCGTATAGTATTTTGAATCAGTTAATTTTAGTAACATAGTAGTCTTACAACATGGTTATGTAAAACATTTTACTCTTAAAATACAATACATTCACACACTACTTTATTATAATTATCGTCATCGTCGTTTATATTGCCGTATTCCATATAAGAAGGAACATTTTTTCATTTACTTGATACTATCAAGAGCAAACATGGACCGGTGGGCTCATTTATGATGAACACAAGTAGTAACCAGTTTTTAGAGTTTAATCGATACATAATATGTCACATAAGTAACTTTAAAGCCAAATATTTCAAGCCACTTTTGTTTCAGATCTCCTGTTGGCATAATTCCTTTCACTGTGCGAGACTCTTGGAACTTGGGATATTATGAGTATAAAAATAATAATTATTAACCTTTACAGTAACTATTACAGAATATGAAAGATGCGTCTATTATACTTCGCTGCACTGTCGCTCTACAAAAGCTTACCGTCTTATCACAACTGTTGTGAAGGCACACTCTGGCTAATAGCTTGTATAACTGACTAGGCCGATGAGCAGTATCAGGCATGATTTTACATATTACATACACAGAAACACAGATGGTGCTCTTTGTGAGCTCGACTCTCAGTACTCCCTCTAGTTTTACAGAATACCAATCTTTTGTTGTCTTCAGTTAATTGCCTTAGTACTAAATTGTTTTTTTATTTTAATATGAATAGGAACAGTTTAACGCAGTAACATAAAAAAAATGATATAAAAAAAAATATATACTAAGACTTATAGCCTTGTTTTCCAAAGCTTCTTTAACCATTCTTACCTAAGACAGATTCAAACAATGAAGATTAGATTCAAAAGATGGAGCTAAATTTACTTTTGTATAATTTTATCAGTCCTTTCGCAACTCTGCAGTCAATTTCTCATGTAGTTCAATTGGTAAAGCTTTCGTACAAATTTCGGAAATTCAACATGCTAAAATTCCTTTAAGTTTCAGTCCTTTTTTTTTGGTACCATTGACATGACGAAAAACTCTTTTGACCATTCATCTATCTTCTTTTGTAGGATTAATTTTATGTCTACTCAATACATACACAGTATTAGATATATCTTATCAAACGGTGTTTGCCAAATATAGTTAACTGCCAACTGCTTTCCAATAATGGGAAATCTTCTGGTTTGTCCATATTTCGGTCTTTTTCGTTCTCAGATTTATCACTGTCACTTTGCTGTGAGTTCATGGCTTGCCTTGTCACCATGGATGTTTTGCACTGTTGGACATTGTTAAAACTAAATCCTTGCAACAATTTGTTAATATATTTTTCCTGTGTCAGGAAAATGGTTTGATACTTTCTATCCCAATCAATTTGGATTTCTAAGAAATTATTTACTTCTCCTAGGTCAGTCATGAATTCGGCTTTGATTTCTCATTAACATCTGTACACTGTCATCTACATACAGGATTAAGATAAGGCACTTGTCTCCGTGTCCTCATAGAAAAAGACAAGGCTCACTAGAATTTTCTATTAGTCTTACGTTTGCAGCGTTTTGAAAAAAATTTTATACCAACGCTGGGGACTAATTTTAAGTCTGTACAGGGATTTTTGTAATCTGCAAACTTTTGTCTTTCTTAGTTATTTAGCCCAAGAGATACTGTCCGAAGTAAATAGGCTTGGATGGTTCTGGCTTAAATAAGAAGGAAAAAAACCACGTAGATTGCATACCAGTAACGTGATATATTTTTTATTTTTTTTTATTTTTCCAGAAAACTGAAAGAAACTGTAAATACATTTCTTAATCTCTCTGTACGCGTGCTGTTTATATAAACAAATAGATAGCACATACTTTGCTTCGTATGTGAGTCCAGATATACATTTTTTTTTTATATCTTCAGAAAACCATTTTAATTTTTTGCTTGCGGTTAGAATACTGCCCAGTTCCATTTGACAAGCTATGCGGCAAATAGTCCCTCAGTGCTAATAACCAGAAAATCAAAAGCAATGTCATTACCGTAACATACTAGGCGTTCTCGTAGATCTTGCTAAAAATTATTTCTCTTTCGAAATACGTGGTAGGTCATCTACTATCAACAGTGGCAATGTTTGCCTATTCTACCTAAATAACAGGTATGTTTAAACACTTTACGTGCATGACTAGTGTTATGGCAACTCATACTTTTAGAAAAACTTTTTCACTAACATTTTTCACATAAACAGTGTAAGCAAGTTTTTCCCTTCTTTTCTGTCTCCATCACTTCCACTACTATGCATTACAGCAGTCATTGAACATACAGTCTGAGTTATTAAAATCCTAGAATAAGGAAACTAACTATCTAGTGCTATTTCAAGTTTTACATATAAAAAAATGACCCATCCAACCTCCTAACGAGATAATTCGATGGTTTGTATAAATAGATTTGCCATCCCTGTATGAAATCATACTTTCCTTAACTCTTAGTACTCTTTCACTCTCAAAATGGTTAAGAAGTCAACCGTAAATGATGCAGTGCAAGTGTTCAAGTTGAAGGAGCCGAGGAAGATAGATCCTAAACCAAAGTCGTCAACACCCCAGACGCCTTGACCTGCTGCAGGAATATCTGTGTCTCCATTTAATAGTAAGTTTTTTAGTCTTATTTTTGTTTTTTTTTTGTTTAATTTTAATTTAATGGAAAAAGTAAAGTATAATACGTTATGTTTATTTTAACTTTATGTATTCAGTGAAATACAATTTTTTCTTAAATGATAATAATTTAAATTTCTTGTCTTCAATTTTATGTATGTGTTAATAGTAAATGTTACAGAAATTAATTTCTTACAGAATTAACATTAATAGAACTCTTTGACTTAATTCTAATGGACAAACTATTCAATTCACCAATCGATGAAGCACCAAGCTATTGAGAAGAATTGCAGTTGATGTATGCAAAGCTGCTGCCATAAAATTTAATGGGAATAGTAGCCACAACAATAGCAATGCCGGCAGCAGCGGCAGCAATGCTTCTACTATCTCCATCAGCAAGATTACCAGCAGTAGTAGCAGCAGAAGTGGCGCTTACACTAGCAATAGCAGCAACAATGCTCCCATCAATAGCAGCAGCAAAAACACTACCACAACCAGCGATACTACCACCACTAGCAGCAGCGCTATTAACAGCAGTAGCACCGCTACCAGCAGGAGAAACAACGCTTTCACCAGCAACGCTACCACCAACAGCAGCAACGCTATCATTAACAGCAGCAGCAGAAGGGCTAATAGTAGCAACGCTACCACTAACAGCTACAAAAACGCTACTTTTTATATCAGCAGCAGCAGCAGCAGCAGCAGCAGCAGCAGCGGCGGCGGTGGTGGCAGTAGCAGCAGCATCTTATGGACCAAATGTAGCGGATATACCATTACCGAGCAAAAGCCCTATAATACGGTTGTTGATGGAACAACAACTACCACCTCTACCCCCACTACCATCACCATCGATAAAAACACCAACATCACCTCCACTTACACTAACGCCAACACCATCTTCACTACCAATACTACTAGTGTCTCAGTGGCGATGACAATAATTAGGCTGCTGCTTTTAACGTCAAAACCCAAGTCAATGGTCTTTTCTTTCTTATTCTTTCTTGAGTCGCTTTTCAGTTAAGTTCTTAGTGGCTTGGTGTGCATAAGCTTTTCTCACACAGATTAGTCACTGAACTAAATCCTACATTTGCTTTAAATTCATGATTGTAACACGTAGCTAAATCACCAAACAAAGTCTTACATCCGTTTAGAAGATGCAACAAAAATCACTCTTTAACCTTTATTGTTACTTTGGAGCCCTAAATAAAAAAAAAGGTAAATGTTGTAATGCGCAAGGAGTTCTTATACTCTTCCACTTAAGGATTACATGTCGGGTTGGGGATCCAAACGACCAGTTAGAGCTTAATTTAATTACTCTCAATCGACACGATCATAGACAAGGAGCAATAATTACACAGTTTTTGATCGTTAAAACAGCTGATCTTTTGGATTTTACCTCAAGTATGAGTTGCTGTCAAAATTGTGTATGATATTCCTTGTAGACATGTAAAGAATGTTGAAATTATTGATTATTCACATTCTTGGATGTACCACTGTGGATTGATGTTGTTAGATGATGGTTTTATGAGTTTGTTAGAGGTTACATGCGTAGTGAGAGTTTTGCAATGCGTGACGGTAGCTGGTTTCAAAAGGATATAACAACTATTAATTTTACATACAGGGGAAACATTCAAAATCATGTCAAGTACCTAAGTGCATACATTTTAATTATATATGTAAGTATATATTTTTAGTATTCTAATGTATAAAATTACAAGACTGAGATATTAAGATCATGTTTACATAGAAATCAATATAATTTATCATATAAATTATTATTTCTTGAGGTGTTACGAATCTTCCATGTTAAATTGATTGTAGATAATATTGTACTACAGTTATGGTTGAAGTGATTAGTCAGTTTTTTTTCTTTTCTCTCCTCTTTTCTTAAGGCATTAGATAATATGGTGGTGGACTGTAACTGACGTATAAAATATTGTTGATAATATTTGTTATCTGGAGCGCATTGCGATGAATTACTCGCTGGGCGTGTTGATTGAAGTCATTAGAGAGTTGTTGGTTATTTTACTTCTTGGCTGCAGTTTAAATTGGTTGTGTTGTGCATTAGGCGTGGATTTTTTACATTTTAAAAAGTATCCTAACGTTAATGTCTTATGCAACATTTCTGCGAGGTACGTAATACTTTATTGAAATGAAGTGAGAAGAGGTACTGCAATGTCTCTATCATGTATGAATTATATCGTTATTAATCCTACGTAAAATTGGGTTATATTACTATGAAGTCCATTTCCATTGATGTCTTATATGTTTGAAAAGCTTTTTGCTAGCCACAAGATATTATTTTCATTGTAGGTTTTCGTTGAAACTATAAGTTGTTCAAAGTCAGTGGTTGAAAATACAACTTTAGAACGTAGGATCTTCCGTTAATGGTTTTGCACGTATGAATGGTTTGTTTAATATTTAAAAGTTGTATGTGATACAATAAAAGAGTACCATTTTAATGAGTAGTATACTTTGACTTGTGAATTTTTTTTTTTTTTTCTAATAGGAAGTAAAGATTTAAATATTATTAATAATAAATTTTGAATTTTCCTTACATTGAACTGCCGTGGATATAATTTCAGTTTTGGAAACCAATTATTTTAAATGTGTTTATTTATATTCTGACTACTGATGTTCTTCTCTTACAAATTTTTATCAAGGTTGTTATAGTTTGATCTTATTATTGATTCGATTTTTTATTACTCATATAATATGAATATATAAACACACATAAATTCTTAAGTACCGCTGAAAAACTTTTATTTGTCACTGTGCTTTACTTCATCTAAATGTTTGATGATTATTTTTCCATTTTCTGCTTTAAGTTTTATGTTGTAATTGTACTTGTTTATATTGGTGATTGCAAAAATTCCATTGTATTATTCATACAATTTTCCTCTTTGGGGTTCTTTTATTGATAGTTGTAGCTTTTTTTGTTAAAGAGCCATTGTGGCATTCTATGAACTTTTGTTGTCTCAATCCGTTTGATAAATAAGCATATTGACCGAAACGTACAGAAATTTTAATATTAACACGACTGAGTTTCTTATAAATTGCTTTGGGCAATATTTCTCTGGTCTCATTGTCAGTCACTTTACCCTTTTTGAATATTCTCAAAGATTCTGTATTTTGTTGTCTATTATTTTTACTGAACCCACTAAAGATACGAGTAAAGATATCAAAGAAAAATCTAATCTTCTTCTCTTTTTTCAACAACTAAACAGAGTACTTATTTATTTTTACAAGTGGTTGTTATTACGTTGCCTACTTATGGTTACGTTTTATTTAATTCATACTTAAAAGATATAATTTAAATTCAATAATAGTTCATTGTTAGAAGAATTAAGTGTCAAGTCAGCAAAAATGAACGTTGCTACTTTGTCTTTTGCATATGAGAATGATTCGCATGTGCTTAATACTTCGAGTATATCCATTTCTGTTCTTATCAAAAGTCTTATAATAGTGCTTTTCTTACAAGTGACTTGGTCGTCACGTTCGGCATTCCATTTCTGTTCTAACATTTCAAATGCGACTGTAGGACAAGTAGACGGTGTCAAATAACTCTGCTTTTGGGCGTAATACTGTTTTATAAATGTGTCTCGCTGCCTAGCACTTAAACGAAGAGGTGTATTAGGTATTCTACTATGCGTTTTTTTTTCTCCCTGGCTTTTTTACTATCTTCTTGTTTGATAGAAAAAACATTAGGTTCTTTCCGTACAGTATTAATATTGTCTCCTATTACCAAAGATGTAGCTGTGGACTGTCTTATAAGTGATTTTGACCTCATCGAAAAGCTTTTCTATCTAATGTTTGACTAGACTACTCCGATGACTCCGAAAATTCTATGGAACAAAAAAGCTAAATTCGTAAAAATTTGCTTCGATTGACTCTGGTTCGCTATTTCCTGTTGTTTCTGTTATATTTATCAGTTTATTGTATTTTAGTGGTATGTAATAGTCCCAATATAGAGATAGGTCTGCAAGATTTGTAGTTTGCAAACTATTAGTAAAATATATTCGTAAGAATTTTTTTTATCGGGACTGCCTTCTAAAGCATTTTCATGCAATGATAGGCGAGCAGTGGATTGCAGTTTTCAATTTTGTTTTATTTAAAAAACAATTTTATCTTATAATAAACTTGATAATTAAGTGTCAAACGTAAGTCTGATACAGCAGGTACATGACTCCAATGCTTGTAGGTGAACTAGAAATTTAATATGACCAATAGGTATAAAAGCAAATATTGATAAATCTTTATCATTTTTTCAAGATGTATAAATATTTGCTTGTATACCTATGGGTCGTATAAAATTTGTACTTTACATACAAGCATTAAAGTCATACCTACTATATCAAGCTTAGGGAAAAAACAGCTTTAAACGCAAAGAATAAGAAACTTATTTAAACTTACGGTGAGAGTGAACGTACGGCTTCTTGGTAGCTCAAGTGGTCGAGCTACTGTCTAGTAAACAGGAGATTGTGTACTCGATCTGCACCTGGGCAATGTATTTTCTTTATTCTTCTTTAGTTTTTAAAAACATTTGTTTAAAAAAAAATTATGGGGTGTAGTATTATGAATCTTTAATATATTGGATATTGAGGAAGGGCATGTATAAGGGATATAGAGTGCTTGCGTAAACAGTGCCAGCATCGATACATATGCGCCTCTTGATACGATGATAAAGGTGTATTAATGTTTGCTTGTATTACTGGATGCGATCCATGTCAAAGGGTTGTTGTCTCTATAAACCATAAATTTTTGTTCGCACAAATAGTGTTAAAAATTTTTTACGGTGACTATTACTGCTAAACACTCTTTTTCAGTAGTGGAATTATTTCTTTCGCATTTGTTAAGAGTTTGCGACATGTAGGCTACAGGATGGGCTTTTCGTGATAATGCTTGACTTAAAACAGTACCGATAGCTAAGTTGCATGTGTCAGTAGTAAGAATAAATGGTTTGTCAAGATCGACACATGCAAGTACCGGGACTTCTTATTGGGCTGATTTTAATTTTTCAAAGCTCTCTACCTGAGGCTTAGTCTTACTTAATCTTTAACTCTTCCAAAATAATAGAGTTGAACAATTTGCATTTATAACATAATCTTTAATAAATCATCTATAATATCCCATCTGTCATGAACATTCTTTAATATTGGTCCGATTCGTTGGTATTGGAAAACTTTTATCCGCTTCAAGTTTCTTGTAATAAAGTTAAACTCCATAACCACCTTTTTATGTCCTAAATATGTCACTCCAGGAAATGAATTTCTGCATTTATCTAGTTGCAATTGGAAGCAGCACCTGAAAGTCTATGAAATATTTTTTTCACTTTTATTGTATGTTCTTCTAAAGTCTTGGCACATATTATAATATTATCAAAAAATTACTAATAGTTTTGTGCCTTGTAATCCTAATAATATAGAATCCATGAATCTTTCAAACGTAGCTGGTGCATTGCATAATCCAAATGACATCCTATGTACTCATAATGTCCGTATAAGGTACTGAAAGCTGTTTGTGGCGATCTCCTGGGGATACTTTAATTTGATAAAATCTGTTTGCTAGACCGAATACTAAAAGAAACTTTGACATACCAATTTGCTCTTATATCTCTGTAATATTAGGTAATGGGTGAGCACTAAGGATAGTCTTAGCGTTTAATGTTTTGTAATGTATTACGAGACGATTGTCTCTTTTCATCGTTGGGTCCCAGCTTTTTGGGGAGAATCCACAGCGGACTACTGTGTGGGCTAAAAAAGTAGCTTATAGCTTCTTTTTGTAATAATTTATCCATCTGATCTATAACTTTCTTGTCAGTTGTCAGTATATTATGTTGTACATACGAAGTATATGAAGCAGCATTGCCTCAGATATAAAATAGATGTGAATACTCTTTTACGATTTGGCAAAGTTGGTTATAATTTGTGTTATCATGATAATGCTGGCAAAGTTTTTTTGGTTTCTTCTCTCTGTTATATTAGAAATATCATCATTAAAATCAGTGACAAGAAAATTTTC